TTTAGAAAAATAAAAAATTATAAAAATTAAAAATCAACCACTGCATTAAAGAATGTCTTATGTAATTAAAAAAAAAATCAATGACGAAATTAAATTTGAAAAAAAAATTAATAATTGATAATTATCAAACTAATAATAATAAAAATAAAAATAGTTTAAACATTATTATAATATTGTTTGAAAAATACAAATGATCTTGTAGACTAAAGTCACTTAAAAAACTTAATTTTCTTTGTTATTCTTCGACAAACTTTCCGCGTCATTTGATTACTTATTCACATAAAATAGTTAAACTTTCGCTCCGAACTATTGAGTGAGGAACAGAATTTGATTGTCAGACGAACTTATAACTTAATTAAAGGTAGTATTTTAAATCCCCTAAATAAGTGGGGAGGTTACTCAAGATATATATCGTCATAGTTTTTGAACACAATGAGTTTATTGCATGACATTTAAGACATTTTAATGAATAAATTTTAAATTTAGTTTAAAATGTTAAAAAATGTATATATAAATGTTATAAACTCATCGCTCTCTCACTAATGGCATGAAAAGGAAGTTAACATTTTAAAAGTTTATTGTTAATAGACTTCGATTATTGCAATACTTTTGAAAAGCTTTTCATAAACATGAATATATAAATGTTTGGAGTTTGCTCCGTATACATAAAGTTACATAAAGTTACATAAAGTTTTCTTCCCCAAAAAATAAAAAGCTTGCTACGGGCCTAATTTTAAATATGTGATTGGAATCTGGTTGTTTAAATATTGTGATTTGCACTTTTGTTAACTTTTTTACTTTAAACTTTTGAAAATTTAAAGTAAAAAAAGTTACAAAAATTTACTAGTTGGCAAAAAAACACATAGACATCCCCCCCTCCCCAATGAGAGACCTCTTCGGGACGGCCCTGGCAACAACCACGCTAAGTAAGAGAAACGTAAAGCAGCAGCATAGCTACAAATATGCCCGGCTCCTTTAAGATAAATTTTTATCAGGGCCATTAAGCGTTTTTTTTTAAAAAAATGGACGCGATTAGTCAAGCTTTTTTTTAAATTCATCGTGTTTTTCAACTAATAGAATAAAAAACGTTTTTTACTATTTTTAGCATTAATAAACATTACAAAATGTTATTATTCGAGTTTAAGAATATATAAATCATATTACACTAGCAGTAAGCAACCCGTAATACGGGCTGTTAGTAAATAAAATTAAAAAAAAAAACCGTTTAGAAAAGTCTAGAAACTACTTTAAAATAGAAAAGACGTAAGTCGACTATTACTACTATTAAATTAGCGTATTAATATTATCAGATAAACATAAAATTTTAAAAATGCTTTCACTCATATTCACTTTTTGTATGATAATTGTAAAAAGCAAGGAGCTGCAAAAAGTCCTACATCACATTCTACATATTCATATTATGAAGCTTATTGAATATTGTGTTTGTAACTTACTGCACACCATCTTTGAACATTAATCTTTTATTATCATTTTCAATAATCATTCATTAAATATATCTTTTAATTATTGATTCATCAAATATATGAAATTCTATTTTTTTGTAAGTGTTTACTTTTTGATAATTATTTTTGCACTAAAAGGAACTTCCTTATTTATCATATTTAAAATTAAATTAAACACGTTTAAAAGATAATTATTGAAACAAAAGCTCTGTAATTATCTAGTAACAACTTTTGTGACATGTAGATGTATAATTTCTGATGAACAAGAAGGAAATATAGTTAGAAACAAATATAATAGAAACAAAGTTCTCACCGTTTTCTATTTCCTACCGGGATCCGTACCAAAATCATATCCAAAAATATAGAACTTAAAGTATTAAATAATGCTGCTAACTTTAAAAATAAATTAAAACACCTCATACTTAATACCAACGATTATATCGACATGTATTAAACTTAACATTAAAGTTTACATTAAAATATTTATGTGTATCACTGATTGTACATTGTTTAACCACTTTTGACTATATATAAAAATAAAATAGACTTTATTTAACCTTTTAAAGAGGTACTCGATAATAAGTCTTCATAGACTTCTACGAGTTTTCTTTTACAACAACATGTATATATCTGAAGTACCGAAAAAATTTCTTGTCCTTTTTTTTTCTTTTCTTATTTTTGTTCTTTTATTTTTTTTAAATACTGGTAACATTTATGATAAGAAACACTACTAATTTACGCTATACTTAGATATACTTGTTAAACCAATTTTTATTATGCTATGTTATACGTGGCATTATTATCTTATATTTTTACGTGAGATTATATTATGTCATGTAGTTATAACGTAACGATGTGTAAATTTATTAAAGTTGTAAAAAAAAAATATATATATATAAAGAGATGCACAAAACCGTAATATTAAGGCATGGACATTTAAAAACCACTTTTAGTTTGCGTAATATTACGGCATGGACTGTTAACGGGTTAAACTTTTTCTTCCGACAAAAAAATTAATACTAAAACAAATAAATAAAAAAAATGCCTTTTCGAAGCTTTTTTGCAAAAAGTCTTTCTTTTAAAAAAGTTATAAACCCCAACTTTAAATAAAAACAAAATATTAGAGAAAAAAAATAAGGATACAACCCCCTTTTCCCAGCAAACAAATTTAACACGAATGTTCACCGGGAGTACACAAATGCTGACAAGATAAAGTAAAGTCTGAAAGATCAAATAAAATCAAAAAAAAAGAGATTCAAAGTAGTTGAGTTCTCTAGCTGGCTCTGAAAACAATTTTAATATGTAATTTTATTAAGTTTTTACAAATAGTGTAAGTTTCGCAGCTCTAGCTAATCTGGAAAGTAATGAAAAATCAATCGCAAGATTCCGGGACAACTGATAGCCAACAAACATCTTGTAAAGTCAAACTATTGTTTGAAATTTACAAGATTTATTGTTTGAAAGAATTACAAGTTTATTCTAAAACTATATTTTAATTGAATTAGATTTTATTTTTCTTATCATCCTTGTACGTTGGTTAGACACCAACACAACAAAAGGAGGTTATTAGGGTGCCCACAACATATAGTAGAAGATTGAACAGCTTTCCTTTCCATTTTTTTAAAAATAGATTATATATGATAAAACGCAATAAAAGATTATATCTGACAAGCACTCCTTTAATCATATAAATTATATCAGATAGTTTAAAAGACTTATAATTTTTTGAAAACTGTTTTAGCAGTCGATATCCTTGCGGATACCAAAAACGTTATATTGCGTCATATTACCAAAACAAAATACTTGATTGAAAAGGCAAATACAAAGGAAAAAAAACAGGAGAAAAAGCGCGCTCTAACGAACAAATATAGTCAGCATGCGGGTATACCAGTAGTGTGGAGATGGGCTACACTACTGGTATACTCGGATGTTAATTAGCGATGCCCCACCACAAACACTAACCACATACATCAAAGTATTACCTGAAGTATTACCCAGAAGTGCCCTCAAACAGGCAATGGAGTTTGAATACGCTACATATCTCAAAATTTATTTTAAATCAACACGAAGTGACTGTTCTTTGAGAAAGTAAATAATAATATTTTACTTACTTTCAAAGTAAATAATAATATTTTACATACTTTCAAAGCAAAGTATAAAATTTTAAAAATAACATTTACTTTTATTTGAAATTGTAAATAACCATTTTTTTCAAATTACTTTTATGTTTTCTGTTTTTTCTAATTAGCTACTTTTACACGTAAAAGTAATTTGTAGTTTTATTTTACTCTGGAAAGTAAGTTTTATGTTTTTTAAATATTATATTTATGCAAGTTTACTTCATAAATAACTTTTTTTACATATAAAAAGTAAATTACATTTCGATTTAAATTTTTTACATAATTATAACCAAAATTACATTTCAAAGTAATTTACTTTACACGACTTACCGTTAAAAGTAAGTTACATTTACAAGTAAAAGAAAAAATGCAAACTTATACTTGTATAAGTACATTACTTTTTCAAGTAACAGTTACTCATTTAAAAAACTTAACTTATGTAATTAAGTTTTATACGTTATATAATTTATGTAAAAAATGTATATATTTTTATATGAGTAAAGTAATTTATGCTTCAAAGTAATTAGCGTTTTTACATCAAAATAAGTAAAAGTGCCAAAATAACATCAAAATAAGTAAAAGTGCTAATTAGGATAGGGGTGTAAGGGCGCCAAGACAACATTTAACAAAATTTAATTAGTTTTGTGTTTCATATCTCTCACTGGTGCGCAACAAGTTGGTACCATTTCTCTAGAGCAATATTTGATTTTTTTAAATTTGATTTATTGATTGCTTTTCCTGTTTTCAAAAGAAAATTAAAAAATTTTACCCTACCTTCAACCAAAAATATATTAAATGAATTACAAATATGCTATAAAAATTTAAAATGCAATGAATAATATTTATTTTATAAGTATTTATTATATACTGTTTTTTAATAAAAGGTTTTTTGGAAATTTTTGAAGAAATTTTATGATGTTAACCCCAAATGTTAACCACAAAATGAAGGGACAGTAAAATTTACGTTTATTTTTTTTTTGGAATTTTTTATTTAATCTTTTTTCATTTTCAATTAATTAATGATACAATTTGTATCATTAATTAATAGAAAATAAAAGCTGATGTTATATTAACTATTTACTTATATATCTAATAAAGTTTATAGATTAATATTCACATTCAATTTATTTCCCCACAACTTAAAAGTTCCTTAAAACCTATTCAAAAAAGTCACACAAACAGAGAATATTATGGTTATTGCAAATTCTAATACTTGAGCAAAGTTTCAGCTCCTTCAATCTGTTTTCATTTATTTCATACAACTGTTTTCATTTATTTTATGTTGTATACATACAAGTTTTTTTTTCCACAAAGAACCAAATGTAACTTTGTCCCGGTGGTCACAAAAACCCGTCGTGCGTGTTTTTCGTTTATCGAAATGAGTTTATAAACAGTTATCGGCAAATTTGTAATTTTTATTTATTTTATGATGCCAACAAATTCTGACGTTAACGTAAGTAGTGGACAAAATAAAAAAATTACTCAAGTCCAGAAATCGTTATTGATCATTTACACTATGGTTCATATCTTGGCTGTACTTCTTGCAGTTTTTATTGCTTACATTGCCCAACCAGGAAGTTGTACGAAATTTTAAACATTAATAAAATCTATATTAAGCAATATTTTATGTTTTTTATTCAAACAAAAAATTAGCACAGATGTTTTAACTATAATTAATCAACATAAATAATTAAAAACGTCAATGAATTTTAGATTTTTTACTAAACGATAAACATATTTTAAATATTTTATTTAAAATAAGTTAATCATATAGCTTCAGAAAACAAGTCGATAAAAGTCCATTTTTTTAGTTGTCCAAAGGAAATTGTTTAGAAAAAGTTATGAAAAATACAAATGCAAAGACATTTTTTTTGTTCAACATTATCTACATCATATACATGATTTACACACATACATATATACATATGTATATGTCGATGAAATAAATAAAGATACATCTTAAATTTTTTTGCTGCTAAATTCTCGATGTTACATATATTTTTGAAGAACTATTTTTTTGAAAATTACAGGAACCTATCTGATGTTTAAGAGTCTTAAGCTACCCCTAAAAAAATTTTTTTTTTTTAATTTTTTTAATTCTAGTATTATTACATTATATAAAACACATTTAGAGGGTGGGATCAGACATTTAAAAGAAGTTATTTTAACAGCCACCCTATTATATATATATATATATATATATATATATATATATATATATATATATATATATATATATATATATATATATATATATATATATATATATATATATATATATATATATATATATATATATATATATCTGTGTGTTTATGTATAAGCTATATACATTTAAAGATTATGTTTATTTTTTATAATATACATGTACGTGTGTATAAACGTATATTTACCCTCTTCTACATACTACAGGTGATCAACAGAGTTATATTTTAAGTTATATATAATATATGCTGTATGTTCTTAAGCCTTTGCAAATCTTTGCAGATCCTTTGGAAAAACTTTTAATGACAGTTTAATTTTTTTATTTTCAACCAATTTATGACATTTTCATTTTTGACCGATTTATTTTTTGACCTATTTTATAGATGTTCATTTTCAACTGATTTGAGATAAATTAATTTTCAGCCAATTATCTGGTCTGTTTTTTTAATGTTGTTGTTTTTAAACTATGATTATTTTTTTTTAAAATAACAATCAATAAGTTTTCCAACACTCATCGAACCTTACACCTCCTAATTCTGAGAGACAGTACTTCAACCACTGCACCAAGGTTGATAAAATTTGGCTCGTATTCAAATTAACAACAAAATATAAAAAATACATATCAGGAAGATGTAGTTATATAATTGAATTTACAGTAGGTTGAAAATTCAGAGGTCAAAATTACAGTAGGTCAACGACTTAGTAGGTTGGAAAATTAGTTGTACCTGTTTTATTTAGGTGCAAATATAAAAATCAAAGATTGTCAGTTGAAAATCAAAAATGTCATAATCTACAATTTACAAAATTTAAAAAAAAAGGTTGAGTTATAGGCCACCATCTAATTTATTAACTTGTTTTTATGTGTGTGTTTTTTTAATGTTTCCTTTTTGTTTTTGCTTTCAATTTTATTGTTTTGTTTGTTTTTTTGCAGCTTTGTTTTCATGGCACCCAACATTGATGACAATTGGGGTAACATTTTAATAACATATTATATAATATACGTTTTTGTTATTGTGTGTATAATAAATTATTTTGTTTTAAAAAATGAGTGCCTACTGTTCTTAAAAAGCAGAATAGATTTGTAAAGAACAGTTATATTTGAAACTGCATATTTTAATTCACATTGTGTTATATATAATATATATGGTATAATAGTAAATTAAAAACCTAACAAATGATCTTGATAAAACCAAGGTGGTAAAGGGTCTTGTGCAAATATTTAAATTAAGCACTTTCATTTATGCTCTGCCAGAGTAAAGATTAAATTGCTCAAATCATATTGCATTTGTTCCTATGGTGCTCCTCTATGGCAAAATTATAATAAGGAAACAATCCATCCAGTCGGAATCACGTGACTATATTGCAAAATCAAAACTAACCATATTGAATTGTGGAAAACAAACTATTTCTTATACTCAAAGTCAGAAACATTATTTAACAATAACTTATGTCTTACAATTACATTGAAAGTTAATCAAAAGAAACAGCGGAAAGATTTTTGCAAAGCATACGTCTTTAGGTAGTTTTATTTTTACATAATTTTAAATCTCTGTTTAAATAAAATAATGCCTTTCATTGCTGTCTACATATTATTTTGACTATTTTAGATTATAAAAAGTACTGATATTTTGATATTTATTTACAAATACTAAGTTAAGATGTAAATTAAAAGTAACCCACCAGTAATAAAGTGTGCTGAACAAACATAAACATTAGAAAATTTAGGAGACCATTATCATTGCATTTATCAAACAGGGCAATTGCTTGCTAACTGAGACGTTCACCACGTTTGATCAAAAATTTCTAAAATGATCCAACAAATTATTGCACAAAGCATAGAAGTGGTAGAAAACCTATACTTACAGCTCGCCAACAGCAACAAATTGTGCATGCTGCTAGTAACCGTACAATCTCAGCGAGACAAATAGGCGCTAATTTGGGATTGAACTGCTCAAGATGGATGGTGAATCGTGCAGTTAACATGGTCCGATGAAAAAAAATTCAATCTTGATGGTCCAGATGGCTTCAATTACTACTGGCATGACATTAGAAAAGAGAAAATATTTTCAAAAAGAAGGGCTATGGGAGGCAGAGAAGTAATGATTTGAGGTGTGTTCGGTTATTTTGGAAAGACTTCAATTAGCTTTATTACTACTAAGTTAAATGCTGAAGGATATAGAAACTTGTTGAATGGTCATTTGAATGATATTTCATATGGTAACACCAATTTTATTTTCCAGCAAGATAATGCTCCAATTCATAGAGCAAAGTCAAATATCTCATGGTTTACCAGCAAGAAAATTCAATTATTAGAATGGCCAGCGCTCTCACCTGATTTAAATCCCATCAAAAATGTATGGGGCATCTTAGCGAGGCGTGTTTATGCAGAAGGGAAACAATATTCAAATGTCAATGAATTAAAAAAGGCAATTGTTTATGTTTGGAAGAACATATCTCTTGCAGATCTTAGAAAACATTCGGAAAGTATGCCTAATCAAATATTTGAAGTTATTCAGAATGGCGGCAATAAAACAAAGTACTAATAAAAAATTCAAGTTGCTATACAAAACATTATGGAATTTTGTAGAGTAAAATTAAAATGAGGTTATAATTTTGCACCATAATTTCTCTGAAATTTTCAAGTCAATTAACGAAATGAAACCAGACTCTATTACAATTGAAGTATTAATCAAGATGATAAGCAATTGAATAATTTGAAAATAGTTACATAATTATTTGTAAGATCTTGATTTTTTGGTGAGGTTATAAATTTGCACCGCACTGTATATACAGTGCCAGACAGAGTAATTTGGGGGCCCTAGGCAGACATGGATGCGGAGCCCCCCCCCCCTTACATATATTTATTTTTCTTCAATTTTTAAGTAATTTTTATTATTAATATTTATAAAAGAAATCATGACAAAATTGATGTAAGTACTGTATATTTTACTAAAATCCCTTTTAAACACAATAATGAACTTTTAATTTTAATTTCTTCATTTTCAACTTTTTGGGGACCCCTTAAATGTTGGGGGCCCTAGGCGGCTGCCTTATTTGCCTTATAGTACGGTCCGGCACTGTGTATATACATAATATATATATATATATATATATATATATATATATATATATATATATATATATATATATATATATATATATATATATATATATATATATATATATATATATATATATATATATATATAATCAAGATCTTACAAATAATTAAATAATTATTTTCAAATTATGTATATATATTAAATAACTGTATATATATTAAATAAAACTGTATATATATTAAATATATATACAATTGAATCCCGTTAACTCGGACCCTGAATAAGTCGGACTTTTATTAAGTCGGACGGAAATTCAATTCCCCTTGAACATTCTCTATCAACTTAATGTAAAATCATTCGCTTAAGTTGTACCGTGGTTAAGTCGGACCATTCGCTAACTCGTACTGTCTTTTGAGGTCACTTCGGCAAAAAACTTCGTTTAACTAGGACTTTTATTTTGAATAAGTGCATACAATAACAAAATAACAAAACTTCCAATACTTCAATAAAAATTCCAAACTTTAAACGCTCGAAAACAAAATACTTTTGCGTCAAATATAATTAAACATAGCTAAACATTTTCACGAATCTTTCGATTCAGTTAAGCTTCGGTTAAATTCTATTTGTTAGTAACTATTAAATTAAAAATCAAAAATATCAATTAAAATTCAAAACTTAAAAAGTTCGAAAATTAATTACCTTTGCGTCAAACTTAGTTTAATGAACTAAACATTTTCACTGATATCTTCGATTCGGTTATACTTTAATCAAGTTTTATTTACTAAAAATGACGCAAGTTGCTAAAAGAAAGCTATCAAGTAGTCACTGAAGCAAACATCAGTTTTTGACTTTTTTCGTTTATAGTATATATTATATATACAAAAATATATATTTCACATAAGATTATATTGTTTTATATATATGTACATAACATTTATATCTCATAATATATATATTTAAGTCTCGAAATCTCAGTAAGTCGGACATTTTCGAAAAGTCCGAATTAACGAGAGCTTTTCTTAATTCGGACATAAGTCGGACAATAAATATATACCCCTTCGGAGTCCGAGTTAACGGGATTCTACTGTATATATATATATATATATATATATATATATATATATATATATATATATATATATATATATATATATATATATATATATATATATATATATATATATATATATATATATATATATATATATATATATATATATATATATATATATATATATATAGTATATATATATATAGTATATATATATATAGTATATATATATATAGTATATATATATATATAGTATATATATATATATATAGTATATATATAGTATATATATATATATATATATATATATATATATATATATGTATATATATATACATATATATATATATACATATATATATATATATACATATATATATATATATATATATATATATATATATATATATATATATATATATATATATATATATATATATATATATATATAAGTATGTATGTATACAAACATATATGTATGTATGTATGTATTTAGTTTGGTTTGTTTATGTTTGAAGCAATATTACTGTTCAGTCCATACAGTTCACTGATGCATTCAGCTGACCGTAAAACCAAGACAAAATACCATTGGATTCTTCAGCTTTGTGCGACTGTTTCTATTTTGCTGGGTTTTGCAGCTATTCTTATAAACAAAGTTCAAATGAATAAAGCCCATTTTCAAACATGGCATTCTATTATTGGATTAGTTGCAACTGTATTTGTCTCATTTCAAGCATTAGCTGGATTTTCGTTAATTTACAACATCAAATTTCTAAACCCTTTTAAAGCATCGTTGGGGACACGGAAGAAAATGCATGCTTTGTATGGATCTATTGTTTTTCTTTTTGGAATGGCATCAATTTTTTTAAGCTTATATTCAAACTTCGTGCTTCAAAGCACTGGACAACTTACATGGTATTTATTACTTTTTCTTGTATCAGCTCTGTCTTCAGTTATTGTTAATCAAGTGTCAAATGGTTATCTATTTTCAAAAAAATAGTTAAAGATTTTTTGTAACCAGTTGCAACAAAAAGTTTAAATCAAATCTTTTATGGAAATAAATGCGTATTTGGTTTGTAAAAGTATTAAAGTGTATTAAAAATGAAATATATTACAAATTTTTCTGTGATTATGCTTATTTCTTGAATTTGAATTTGTTGCGTACCGGTGTAAAGTGACTCAGGGCGATCAAAAAACGGCAAAAACTCAATAAAATTTTGGTTAAAGATCTCAAATTTGTTAATAAAAACTTTTTTACGCGCATATTTGACGCGTGCAATGCGCGTTTGCGCGTTTAAACGCGCGTTAAAGTTGATTATACGTGTACAAAATAACTTTTGTTAAAGTTTTAGAATCTTTAATACAAACACAGTATCTTGATATATTATTCTATTTAATATTTTTATAAAAATGGTCTTTAAATGATATTGATTTATTGAGAAAAAAAATGTATTTTATAACATTTAATAATTTACATTACAATTAATTTAATAACTTCGTCGTAAGGGTTTTCCTCGATAATTCTTATGTTTTTGGATTTGATATTACCCAGGACCAAGGACACGGGTTTCAAAGTGGAAGGACACACTCCCTTATTTCGAAAAAAATCGTCAATTACCATGTTAACTTCTAAAAAAAAAAGTCCTTGAATAAAAAAGTGAAGGGGGAGGGGTTCGTGTCCCCTGGCCTCGGTGTCGTCGGTCTTTTTACCAGAAGGTAGTGCATCTGATTCATTATAGTGTTTAACCTTGATAGTTTTGCCGTATGCTTAAGTCTAAAATTTCTTATCTGTTTATTCAAATTCTCAGCGCATCTCCCGAATATACCCGGATTGGCTAAGGTAGTTTATATGGTATAGAAGGACTTCGAAGTAGCAGTTTACGTACAGTAGGAAGAACAACGTACACTGAAACAGCTAAACTTATAGTCTTACAAGCTCACTATAAGTTTAGCTGTTTCAGTGCAGTATAAATCTAATTCATTGATACTAATAGATTATCTGCAAGATATGGTTATGAAAATATTATGAAATTTTTTAAATGTATCACAATCAACTTTAGTAATTATAAAAAAACTTCATTATTTTTAAATGCTCTTCTAACAGTATTGCCATCATTAGTATTGCCATACCCAGCTTTTGGCATGTCAACATATAGGCTTAATTGTTCTCTGAAGATTAACTGAATCACTTTCTTACGTTTACAGATAATTTCTCCTTAATTGTTTAAGGTTTATAGTTTTTAATTTCCATTTCCATATGAAACTCCGAGCACTTTATCCAGTAGTGCAAAGCTGAAATTCCGAACTCCTAAGCTGATTTGTTTTAATTTTTTGCTTTTACTAAGTCAGCACTGTTCATTTTGTTGGGTTTAGCCTAAAGGATTTCCATTTTTCCAAATTTTGCCATCTTATACTTTGAGCAATGTAGACACAAAAGCTGTACTAAAAAATATTCTTTATGCTTCAGTTCTATAGATGTGTTACTTGTCTCGTATTACAGTTATAAATTATTTGGCTTGATGCTACATCAAAACCAATCTTTTCATATAAAACTCCAAATGATTTAACGTTATTCGTTAAAAACATTAACGAGTAACGTTATTCGTTATTCGTTAAAAAACACTGGGTAATTTGAGCACAAGCTCATATTATATAAAAATTGCATTTTTTAATGTCTGCGTGACCAATTGGTTAACTCGCAGAGTTTTTGAAGCAAAAAGCTGTCGTTCAGATCCTACCACTGGCATCTTTTTAGAGCAACCGTGGTGCAGTGATTAGCGCCCTTGCCTCAGAAGCTAGAGACCCATTGTTCATCTCTGGCCAAGTTTTATAACACTGGTAAGGTAGGAGAAGTGAACTTTCTTTCAAATGTTCTACCGCGGTGCTCTATGATAAGACCAAAGTACTTCTTGGAGCATCTAAAAGAAAAACTAAAATAAAAAAAAATGAAGTCAAAAATAAATGTTGCAGTGCATTGTTTTTCAAACAAAAATGAAACGGAAATCTAGTTAACATATTTTTCTTTATGAAAAAGTAAATCTCTACATTTCGACATCAAAATTTCGCCCCACGGATTCTCTCGGGTGTAATTATAAGAATTTAACAAAACAAAAAATTAAATAGCGTCTTAATTAAATGAGAGCCGCTAGTTGCTGCATATAAATTTACGCTAATTATACTGCTTTCTGTTATCACCATATGGAGTTAATTCAAAAAATATAAAGCAACTTAAACTTCACTCCTCACATCTTAGAAACTTTTTGGTATGCTTGTATTACCTAGATACTCATATTACACAAATCTACCCTTTATTAAAAAATGTGTCAATTTAGTATTATTTACGAAGTTCCATGAAAATTTAGATGAGTTTTGTAACATGATCAAGATTTAGAAATTTATTTTTACCTTGCCTTCACGATTATACTTCAAAAATTTGCCAGGTATGATACTGTTTCTAAACCTTTGCACGGATCCCTTTTTTTTAGAAAAAATTTGATTAACCGTTATAATTTAAAATTTTTGTAGTTTATGTTACTTTTGAAATTGAATTAACATAGAGAGCATTCTGTTAAAATTTCAACTAATTTACAGGGTTATTCATTCTTATATGCGCGTCTATTCATTTTTATATGCGCCTTTATTCATTCTTATATGCGCATTTATTCATTTTTATATGCGCCTCTATTCATTCTTATATGCGTTTTACAAAAGCAATTGTAAAAAAGCAATTTGAACAAAAAAAATCATTTAAGCAATTTGTTTTGAAAAAACAGTTTATTTTTTCAAAATAAACTTATCTTATTTCCAGGTAAATGAGGTTAAAAATACTTAAAACGAAGACCTTTTACATTCGACAATGGTTTATCTAATTCAGCACCAGTTCTTTGTAATTTTATTATTAAATTTCTTGATTGATTAAGTTATTATTTATCTAATTATTCATTTATCTAGATTTAAATTTAATTGTTTATAATTATTATTAATATCAAATTATACATCCCTATGGATGGAATAGAAAATAGCAGTACCAATCGTAAAACAAGGAAAAATGTTACAAAAGAGCACATTGAAATGCTTAAGTATTTAATTGAAAGAAATCAATCTACAACAAGCATTTCCACTTCTCTTAATTTATCGAAGCGCACAGTTCACACTTTTGTCGTTAAGTTAAACAGGGGATAATTCGACGACATGACTGCATTCAAGTCGTTTTCTGATAAAAAACGAGGTAAAAGACCTATAAACTCTCAAATAAAAAATATTATCGAATTATGAGTACAAGAAAACAATCTTTGCACGCAAGAAGCAATAAAAACATATCATTCTGCAGCAGGCTTCAACATGTCTCAGCCTACTATTTCAAGAAAACTCAAACGCTCAGATTTATCAAGAAAACGTGTTGTGCATGTGCCGAAGAACGAAACTCAACACCAGTTGTTAATGCACGCTATGCATTTGCAAGCGAAATAAACGGAACTTCAGATGAAAAACTTATTTATATGGATGAAACTGGATTTAATGTGCACACTAACAGCACATATGATTGTTTGCTAAGAGGTGCGCCAGCAATTTTACAGTCACCTGCAAATCGTGGTAAGAATGTTTAATTTGTGCTGTTTCAAAAATGTGAGTTCTTGCTTATAAAATAAAAACTGGAGGCTGGAATGCAGATTCATTTTGTACTTTCATAACTACAATGATGGCACCAGAGATCAGAAATGCAAAGGTTGAAGCGCCGGTGCTTGTTATGGACAATTGTAAATTCCACTGGAGTCTTTCTATTAGGCAAACACTAGCCTCTCATGGTATAGCTATTAAGTATTATATTACATGGTATAGCTATTAAGTATAACAGCTATTAAGTATTGATATTAATAATAATTATAAATAATTAAATTTAAATCTAGATAAATGAATAATTAGATAAATAATAACTTAATCAATCAAGAAATTTAATAATAAAATTACAAAGAACTAATACTAAATTAAATAAACTATCGTCGAAAACAAAGAACTAATACTAAATTAAATAAACCAGCGTGGAATGTAAAAAGTCTTCGTTTTAAGTATTTTTAACCTCGTTTACCTGGAAATAAGAAAAATTTGATTTGAAAAAATAAACTGTTTTTTTAAAACAAATTGCTTAAATGATTTTTTTTTTTTGCTTAAATTGCTTTTTTACAATTGCTTTTGTAAAACGCATATAAGAATGAATAAATGCGCATATAAGAATGAATAAAGACGCATATAAAAATGAATAGACGCACATATAATTATATGTGCGTTTATAAATTTCTTACAGGGTTATTGATTCTTATATAAGAATCAATAACCCTGTAAGAAATTTTGTGAAAGGCTATGCTTGAAAAGCTGAAAATATTTTTGGTATTTCTAAACTTTTGCACGCTAATGTATGTTGGGAGTTGAGTAGATGCAATTTTTGTTTTTTGTTTCAACAATGAAACGCTATTTAAGTATTTCATATATATTTTTCAGTTGTTTCTATGAAAACGGCTTTTGATTTTTAACTGAGAAATATGACAGCTGCAATTTAAATCTCTCTGGACAAAAGAGCAATTTCATGCTACACCGAAATACATATCAAATCAGGGAAACAAAAATTTACAATATTTTCATTTCAAAAATAAAAAAAATTTGAGTATAATATTTCAATAACCTAAATGTATTATCTTTAAAATATAAATATTATACTAATAATAAAGATATTACACTATATAATAAAGATATTACACATATTTTAAAGATAAAACTCAAAATACGGGTGTCGTAACGTGACATCGTTGTTACGCAGCGATGCACTTATTTTAACAATAACTCAAAACATACCAAGTAATAATAATTCAAACTTTGATATCAATTGGTATTTGACTACAGAATATATTTTTGATAAAACGCTAGTAAAAGCATATCTGAAAATGCGCTTGGCAGCACATTGAGATCTAAAAAAAGATTGCAAAAATCTAGTCGTCAGAATTTAAATTTATTAAAAAAATTATAGTCGTCAAATTTAAATTTATTTAAAAAATTATATTTTATTTTAAAAAAGTTATAGTAAAGTTTTGCAGAATAACAAAAATTGCCAAGTAAAAAAAAAAAAATACAAACATA